GTTGCTGCACCTACTTTTCCCAGAACGTTATGCCCCAGCTGGATGGGTCCCAATTCCCATCAACTCGGGAGGAAGTTATACAACAAAATCAGCGGACCGAGTTAGACCCGAGGGTTGTGCCACGCTCCACTGCGAGTACTGAAACCTCTTCGAGGGTGAAAAACTCTGGAAATGGAGAAGCTGTGGCTGCAACTACGAACAAAGGAGCTATCACTGCAGCTCGCAAACGCTCTTTTCGACGGGCTAGACGACCAAAGCAGCCACGTGGTACCGTGGAGCATGGCGGTCAGCCAGGTCACTTGGAACGGCTCAGCGCGAGCCGGAAGGGACTATGGCACGATCGATGCCTGCAGCGCACAGTGTCTTGTCAGGAACCCCGGGACATCCTCAGACGCGACTTAAGGTCATGACGTATAATCTGGGAGGACTGGATCCTGCCAGTTACGATGTCTTTTGTACTTGGCTTAAGACACAGAAAGACGCAGACATAGTGCTGGCACAGGAATTGCACTGGGGTTGTGGTCGCGATGAGGGCAGCTGGCAGATAGGTGACTGGTATGCCATTGTTTGTCCGGATAGCAAGCACAGATATTGTGGTGTTGGAGTTTTTATCTCCTCGCGCGTAGCGCAACCGGATCAGGTCGCTTACAAAACGGTTATTCCAGGACGTCTCTTGCACGCTAGATGCACCACTCGGCTGCTGACCATGGACATCGTTGCAGGCTATCAATGGACCCAGAACAGACATCGCTTCTGGACGCAGCTTGGAAGACTCCTGCACACTTTCCCAATTCGTAACCTACTTGTTATGGGCTGTGACTTGAATACAGGCTTGAGGCCAATACCGGGTTTAATTGGCCGTGGTCTACTCAAGCATAACAAGAAACCTGACGAGGAATTTGAGGCCCTGGTGCAGGCACACAACCTCGTGCTGCTTAATACATGGTCCCGAGCCTCCCCGAATGGATGCCATACTTTTGCTAACCATAGTACCAAGACGCAACTGGACTTCGTGCTTACCAGACGGCTCACGGCTGATGGTGCGTCAAGACTGGCGCGTCCCGTTGCGCTGGACCTCATGCCCTGGAGGTTGGGACCTAAACACAGGCCGGTCATTGCCAGCCTTCCATGGGTAGCGGGTTGGACACGAGCCAAGAAACCGGCCTCTGCAGGACAGTGCTCTATGCGACACCTGAGGGCTGCAGCGTGCACGAATGGGCCGGAAGCACTGGCTCTTGCGAGCATGATTCGCAATGCACTGTCGAACCCCGACGTTACCATAGCCGCCCTCAACAAGCAAGTCCTGGATAGGTGTAAGCCACTTTTCCCAGTAAGCCTAAACCCTCGAGTAGACCGGGTGACGACCCTAAAGTTCAGGGATGCATTGCCGAAATGTGGAAGCAACATAGACTCCTTAAAGAACTTGGGTCCCATTCGAGTACGCGTGGCACGACAGGGCTCATGCACAGTTCAAGGCCAGTGTCAAGTGCCTCCAACAGGCCAGTCGCTGGGCCAGGAAACAACATCTTGAGGTGATGATACAGCAGGCTGAGCTGGCTTCTCAGAGGCATGATCAAGCTGAGCTTTATCGGGTAATCAACCAAATAGCCCCGAAGAAGCGGCGCGATGCTGTTAGGGTCAGGGACTCTGAAGGCCGGTTGTTGAACAAGTCTCAGGAGTTTGACGCTATTTTCAAGTACTTCAGTGAAGCTTTCACCCGAAAGGAAACTTTCTGCCGTGCCGCTCTACAGCCGCTAGACATCCAACCGACGGAGATTGTGGAAGCCATAGCTAAGCTCAAACATGGAAAAGCCGTTCCGGAGGGAAGTCTTCCTGCTGAAATGTGGCAGTTATGCGCCCCAGAGCTTTCCTGTTTCCTCGCGAGGACCCTGGAGAATAGCATCCAGAGCAATCAGCTCCCTGCTGAAACGGTAGACTGCGCCCTAAGCCTTCTGCCCAAACCTGGAAAGCCCACTAGGCAGGCCAAGGATCTCCGGCCGCTTGGACTTCAAGATCCAAGCGCAAAGATCATGGCCGTTGTCCTGCGCACCAGATTGCTTGACATAGTTCAGGACAGATTGCACACAATCCCTCAGTACGCTTACTGTCCCAACAAATCAGTTGATCAAGCAATCTGCCGCGTGGCGTGCCATTAAGCGGATCCGGGAAGTGGTCAAACACAGTACGCTTAGTGTTCATGATAAAAGGGATGGGGTTCAACCTTCTGAGTGTAAGGGAGGAATCATGGTTAGCTTGGACTTAAGCCGCGCTTTTGATTTGCTTGGCCGAGAGGCGCTTGAAAGATCGTTGCGTGCGGCGCACGTGCCACCAGACCTTCGGGCTGCTATAGTTGCCATCCACGAGTCATGTTATTATACTGTCAAACATGGCCCCAGAAGCGATCGCTTCTCCCTAGAGGTGGGAGTAAGACAGGGCTGTACCCTTAGCCCCCTGCTCTATGCCCTCTACACTGCGTGGCTCTACGAGCAATTGGCAGCCGAAACCAGCGAGGCATGGGCCAAGGAGTGCTTAACGTATTCGCAGATGATAAGCATTTGTCCTGGGACATCAACAGCATCGCTGATCTGGCCTTCGTATGCAAATGTGTCCAGACAACATATCGTCTGCTCAAAAGCAGCGGAATGCAAGTAAATCCCGAAAAATCCAAGATCGTCATCGCACTCCGTGGCAGCGCTGCCATCAGGTGGTTGCGCAAACACATGCACCGCACGCCAGATGGTATCTTCATAGACTTAGGCACGCCGCATATGCCGCTGAGGATCCAACAGGTGCAACAGCTGGTTTATCTAGGGGTGGTTGCTAGCTACACTGGGTTTGAGCTTCAAACACTTCGGCATCGGCAGAAGGCAGCTGCGCAAAACAGGCAGAGGCTTCTTAAATTTCTTCAGCATGTGCCTACGGTTGACAAAGACCATTCCACAATCTGGGCAAGGAACTCCCGGAAATCCGTCAGGTGTAAGGTGTACTTCAGGGGTGGGCAGGGCATCCGAGGGACTAGGGAAGTCCAGCTGTTCCTGAAACCACTG